TTGTCCTACATATCACTGAAAAGTCTCGAAAGCACCGTATAAATACTAAAGGGAACGGTCTGAAAGATGTGTGCTTTTAGGACTCCTGGGGTCGCTCTTTCCACCAGTCCACGTACCGTGACGAGTAATAAACCCGTCCAAAAGGAGGTTGAGTGGCCAGCAAGTCGAGCAGTTCCTATACGTCTCACAGGCATGAAGACGAATTTTAGTCATCTTTACTTTCCATAAGATCATCAAATTCAGTGTCAGTACCCAACAGTTAATGATACATTTGAACTGACTGATACATGCTGGAGTCACCTAAACCACAATCTCATAGTATTATTCTATATAATGTGTACTAATACACATGAGGAGGTAAAATGAAATCGATCCGGATATAAATTGTGGGTGGTGGTGGTGCGGTGGTTTAATCGCTGTCATCGGCGTGCTTTGGACCCTGTGGTCCGAAGGTTGAGCCCCGTCGCTGACACCCAACTTTAGTGGTAGGCAGCTTTGCTGTCGTCTGGTTCCATACCACGCTCAACCTATCGAGGCCCTATGTGGTTCACCACTCCAAGTCCCGCTCATTAGGTTGCCGGTTTCCATCACTGAACAGCAGGCCTTCACGACTATGGGGTTCGCCCTATCTGCTGTTCATCGCACAAGTATGTGTGACAAAAAATTGAAAATAAAACGTTCTTATGTTGTGTTCCCTAATCAAGATCATTTCGAGAAAAACCTGTTGTTTCAGTTAACCTTATTCCACTTTTATGTTCAGATTGTGAAAAATTCAGTAGCTTCGGTGGGATTCCAACCCACGCATGGAGGCCTCCTATGCATTTGTGCAACGCACACTCTATCCAGCTGAGCTACGAGGTCTCGTAGCATAATAACCGGAGACCCCGTGAGGACGGGTACCTTTGCAGTGAAATCCCACTTGTCAGCTCCGTCCAGTATATACCGCAATCGGACCACGGAGAACCAGCACAGAATTTTTTGATTACATTCCGATCCGAGCTGTTGGACGGTAATGGAATGAACTCGATTTTGGAACTTGCTAATCGATAAACTGTACTTAGGTAAGAAAACAACATAAAATGAAATCTATGACAAATTTTCAAGTGAAATATGACATTAAGCTTCGCCTGGGCACAGTAAGTGTTTTGAGAATGCACCCCAAAAGGCCGGTAATAACCGAAAATCGGCTTGATCAGTGCAGCAAATTTAGCGCTATCCAGAGTGTCATGTAAGGGAGCCCAACAACAAGGCGTTCAGTATTTCATTTTCTCCCAATGCGTCCCTCGGACAAATATGAACTTTTTGTGACTTTTCTTGGTTTCAACCGAATGTAACCACCATCATCTCGCTTTGATATGATCGGTATTCTTTTTCCGTGGTATTGTTGTCCTTCTGGAAAAATTCTATGGATTATGGGATAAATCATGCCTCTGTTTGCAACGGAGCACTTGCACAAATCAGGGACTGATATACCGGATTCCTGCATCTTTCAGACACGTTGTCTCTCCGCTTCAGGAGTATGCCGAAATTTCTTGAACATTTCACCCCCTTTAACCATACTGATATTACAGAACATTTGATCGCGCGATCGTCTCACCTTACAGTCGATTCCTGAAGACAACTTCTACGTTTGTTGCAATATACTTTCACCTCTGATGACTAAGCATTTTAATTGACCATTTTTCAGCCACCGAGTTTTAATATGATCGTGAAAACAGATATTCATTTATCGGCATATTTACTGTGCACAGCATTAGAAAAGATTAACTGTTAGGGATACTTGACCAATCTTCTCAAATAGCTTCTGCTGAGGAAGCCCTCCCAATCACTGTCTTCTCAGGGTGAACCGCTGACAGTTCATCTATGCGAGTTGGTTAAAAACCCTAATACCAAACCAGGAGGAAGTGTACGCACACCCATATCTTCCTGATGGTAGCAATGGTCACCGGCTCGATTGAGTACGGAGATGTATTTAGCACCTTTGGTGTTTGACCCCATGCAAAAAGCATATAATCCGATGACTTGGACAGCGGCTCCTAATGAATTACTCTTTTCATACACCGCTACCTTACGAGCAAGGCTTTGGTTAGCCGAAGGCTTCGGTGATGGTCTGGGCAACCTGGCCCACAAGCAAATCATCGACATGCTTCTTTATTATAAGGATTATTGTACTGCGATTTGTTTGGCACACAATCTGAATTCAGACGTGGATGAGATACATAAAAATATTCGGATTGACTAGGAAAAATGTCCTGATAAGGCAATAATCATTTAATACAAAGAATGGAATTCCACTCTGCTTTACACTAAATATTTGCTTGTATGCAACCGTAACTTCATCGTGACACTCAAGGTCATACCTATTCAAATGATGAAACAAGAAAACCAAAGAATATTGCGNATGCTCGGAATTCGTACTCTTTACCGACGGTAATCGATATACAGGTATGATATTAAAAAATGAAATACATTTATGCATTGGAGGTCATATCACATGAATTCGATCAATACCTGTCACGTGCTCTTTTCCTTCGTTGGACAATGCGTGCAAATAAAAACGTGATGATGGCAGTTTTAGGGTACATGATCTGAGCAACAAGACTCAGGCGCTAGAGACGATACAGTGGGAAATCATTCGAACCCCAAAATCCCCGGTGTAATCAATGGCTGTTTATACGTATTTTCAACTGGACACCAGTGAGGCGAAGAACATAGCGGTTTTCAAACAAGTAATATATGTAGTAAGCAATCGACATCAGACCGTCGGCACGTCAAACCGAGGGGTTTGACCAAACTCTACCCCAATTAGTATCGCCGACCAAGATTGTACCGGTCGGCGCCTCTGAAACAACATAACAGACCTGTTAAAACCATTTGGTTGTGTCCTTCTCGACTTCTCAAAATCACAGAGCGAGGAGTGACGAGCAACAGACAAGTAACAAATGTGTCAATATGACATGCGATGAATAGAATATCACCTCGTGAAAATACAATCGAAAGGGAACCAGCCGACTGCGTGTGTGTGTGTGTGTATGTGCAAAATCAACCAGAACGAGCGATGAGTGCGTTGAATGCGGGTTGATCACGAACGTGGACAGTGAGTGGGCAAACAAAAGAACCTAAACTATGGTTACAACTTACCACATAATGCACCCGATCGAAATGATATTTCTCGTAACGTGAAATGGCGGCAGCAATGTCTCTGACGAGAGAAAAAAAGCAAACACTGAGGAGGTGAGAGTTCCGCATGGAGACCTACTACAATAAATGTATTCAGATTTCGATAAGAAAAAACGGACAAACAAACAACGATTGAAATATAAAAATAGGCAGCCTATGGACGAGTGGACAAGATTTTCCAGATACAAAATGCGAAATTTACTGAAATTTACCGCTATCCAGGAAGAACACCTTGATTCTGTAAACCCGATCGCGTTTGTATTGCGAAACTAATCCAACCCCCGCATTAATGAAAAGCTGGATGCGTAGCATCATTATCTAAACTTCTCAACGCCATTCCCCTGATCCATGTGAAGTTCAGTTGTCACAACCATTAACCATGCACTTTCGTGCGCGGGTTTTGGTTGTTCATTTGGATAAAAGAGCGAAATGAAGACTGGAATGTCCAAGCAAATTCAAGNAATTCAAGCGGAAGATGGGGAATTCATATAGAGTGGTGTTAGGAAAATAACGAGTGAATGCACGAGCGCCACTGCTTGCGACACCCAGCCATATCACTCAGTGTATCTAACCATCGGTGACCATCATCCCGAGGTCCCCAACCAGGGAGCCTAACGGGGCATATGTGACCTAGTCTCCTGGTTAGGGTTTCCATACCCTCATGCCAGGTCTTAGCTTGACCACCATTCGTTTTTTTCCAATGGCTACCAGTCTTGGCAAACACCGTTCGCCGTGGCAACCTATCAGGTGACATGCGTAAAACATGTCCCAACCAGCGTAATCTATGGAGGTCGATCACTCGCTCTAGTGGACGACCGCGACTGCCCAAAACTCTACGCCTAACCTCAGCATTGCTAGTCC